AACCGTTGTGATAGGCAGAGCCACTTGGGAGTGGTGAGGAGGCTCTTCAACACAAGGACAGGACCATCACCATCAGACATGAGGTACTTTGAGGACATCACCCCACCGCCTTTGAGAGCCATCGCTAGTAGATTCCTTGAAGAAGACATGATATTGTCACAGACCACAAAATCAGCGCTGACTCGGGACATGCATACATGCCCCTCCAAGTCATCCTCCACTTTATTGATCAGAGCCTCTCGGCTATCATCCAAGTAGAAGGTCTTCCCATGCACTTCAAGGTCTTGTGGCCCTAGGATTAATTTCAGCCCACATGAAAAAATATTAGAGGGCCACCCTGACAGACTACTATTCCATAACTCCAAATTTGAAAAAAACACGACTTAGTTGGCAGCCAAGGGACTCAGTAGAGCTTCACGGCCTCAGTTGTGATGAGCCAAAGACACTAACTAATTAAATAAAATGTCCAAAGTTAGGCTAAGTCACGTGATGACCGATCTTTGTGGTACTTGATCCGGAGCTGATGACGGTGCACCAAATGGTCACGAAGCCGTTTCTGGTCCTTCTTGGTGCCCTTGATGACACCGTCATTCAGAGCTTCCATTCCTGGTAAATGCAACAGTCGGTGAAGATCACAATGACTGTTTCAAACTTTGAATTGGTCTATAATTATTAGATCCGAGTAGCGGTTCTTCTGCTGGCGTGATCCCTGAAGACGGGTTTCCTGATCATGCTTGCTCGTCCACATTGACCTAGCCAGCTCCCGCGAAACCGCCGCCGCCGCCAAGGTCTTCCCTGTATGCACCTGCTGGTCAATGGCACAGCGCCACTTCTTCAGCCAGGCTCGTTCACAGTCGGGATTCTGCACCAAGGACTTTCTTTTGTGAATCCTCTTGGACACCTGTCAGGGGATGATAAATTTAGTCAAATTATTAAAATTTATTTATTGTAGATGTAATCACATCCCAAGCCCCAGCCTGTCTGCAATTTCCATAGACTCGAGCCTCATGTCTCAAGTTGCGTTGAAGTGTGGCATTGAGTCTGAAACATGACATAGACTAAGTTGAGCTAAGAAACCCACTCGAGCTGAGCCAAATTGATGACATGGTCACAGTTCGCATCTTCCACATAGGTCACCCGAAGTTCATCCACCAAACTTCTGATGCTGATCTCACCTCGCTGTTTGCCAGTCATCCAAACAGAATGACTAAACCTCAGTGGTGCTGCAATGGTGACATCATGTCTTTAAATCTTTTGAGCTGGAACATTTAATTAACATGAAAGCAAACTCCTTCAAACCGAGCTTCAACCTCTCCACTGAGGATGTGGAAAAGGATAATGCCAAATAGCGAGCCACAAGTGGGCAGCCACAGGACAAGCCCCTTCTCCACAAAGCCGATGCTCTCGAATCAAAGCACCCCGCCAGGCCTCACCAAATCATCACTCATCCATTGAGACTGCAAACATGTGGGCAACCCCTATCAGGCCTCCCCATCGTTGCATTTTTGCTTCTGCTGGATGGAAAAGGCAACATCGTAGAGCGTAGTCATCTCCACTTTGAGGAGTTCCTAAGTTTCTTACCAATTAATTATTAAATGGAAGTTAAATAACAAGTTTAATTTGAAACTTGATGATATAAACTGTAGACTAGCATCTAGGTCCATGCACCATGTCCGAGCAAGAGCCTTCAAGCTATTCCGGTTCTCTGCAGGTAGACACGACAGAATTGGTGATATTTTGAAAGCCCGGGCCAAGGTAGCACAGATACTGTAGCTAGGAAACTCCGTCTCCAGGATGCCAAGGGAAACTTGCACCCAATTCACCATCCTCCAAGTGACCAAATGACCAAACTTTGCTTTGAGGATGAAGACTTGGAACCGATCGTTTCTGTTTAAGTCTGTCCTGGCCAGGCATTTCTGCTTCAGATCACCAGTGACTTTGCCGGGACCCCCAAGGATGAGTGGGCCACTTTTGCCAGGGCTGATCAAGACGAGTGGATCCTTCCTCAAAAAACAACGACAAACAAATTAAACGAATTAAACTACTGTGAGTCATGTGGTCAAGTCCAAGGCTCAGGATGTTCAGCATGTAGCAGGAATAGGTCCCCTCCATAACCCAGATATTCCCACGGGTGAACATGTGATTGATGTTCATCTTGAACCTTAGATCACCAGACATTTCACTAATTTGGAATGAAACTATTGAAACATTTAATAGTAGATTCTGAATGACAAAGAAACTTATCCACGGCATCCTGCAGGTCCGTTGGTCTCCAGTCTGCTGAATCAGTCAGTCGGGTAAGAACGAAGCACTCATCATGAGCATCAGCTAGTAGAGCCAAGGTCCTCAAGTAGAGCTGTCAGGTCCCAAGGTAAGAAGATCTTTTGGTTCAACTTCATGTTTATCGTCACAATAATAATAAATGCTTTCAAGTCACAGGGCCTTCTCTTCCGTCCACTTGTCTTGAAGAAAGTCCAAGCAATATTTACCTTCTTCCTTAGTTTAAATTTAGTAGACTATCAACATTAAATTAATATAGTGAGTCACTGTGCATTGACAGACTCCAAGCAGGTCCACCATTCCACTCAACTCTGCCACTAAGTGTCTTTGAACCTCCTTTCCCTGCACATTTGCTCCATGGTCACCAACATCGGAATGTGGTGGAGTACCTGAGGGCTGGTGTGGGCGTGGCTGGGTGTGGGTGATGCTGTGGCTGACTTGCGAACAGGAATTTAGTTGCAGTCAGGTTTCCAATCGTCCCATTGGCTTCTGCAAGCTCTCAAATCTATGTTTCGCCGCCCTGAGATTTTTTACCTCAGTGATAAAGAACATATGTTACACATATTATGAAAGGTCCAATTGAAAACCCAGCCAAGTTACATCGCCATGATTTGTGATCACTGACAAGTTGTTCAAAGCGCCGGGAGAAGTAGGGCTTGCGTTGCAAAATTTGTGATGGAGATCGGCGGCTCGACACGAACATGTTCAGAACTTGTTGTAGAAAAGGGTCCGCCTTTGTTGCTCGTGCAGCAATCCTGCCACTCTGTTCAATCAACCTGACAGATTAAATAGACTCTTTAAAAGCAAGATCAGCCTGTCCTCCTGGTCGCATGTGTGGTGTCCTTCGTGAGCACTCTGAGATTACACAGGTGGTTCTTCAACTCCTCTTGACCAACCATCTCCTCAGTCAATGAGTAAGTACCACCTCAATTGCATAGTAATCTGATCAACTGCAAAATAGGTATCTAGAACCAGCCAAGGTTCATCGGCAGCTGCATCAGTGCAAAATTGTTCAACCTTTGCTTTGATCTTCTCCAGGCTCTGTGGGAACTTCAGCCGGGCCTCCTCCTCAGACCGGTCGGACGGGTGCAGGGGCAAGTTCATGAAGCGTTGGCAAAGATGCTTTAAACACTGACTGAATTTGAAGGATTGATATAGATGCTTTGGCACAGCCAACACCAGTAAGGTCATCACTCATGTCATACACACCCACCATGCCAGTTGATGGCGCTTGTTGCATGAAGTAAACTTCAAAGCCATTCGGAGAGCCCGTGCGTCCTTGAAAAAACAATGAAGAAACTTCCAACTTGAATAATAATTATAGTTTCTCGTTTAACTTTGAAGTCCTGTTGAAGGGCAATGACTTCAGCATCATTGAGAGTCTGCAACGTGAGAAGCCGAGCCCCTTCAGCGAGACAGTGAAGAAGTTTGCGCCGCAGGGTTCTTCCACCAACCTGACTGACTGACAGACAGAAACACACTACAAACCCTAGAGACAAACCAAACATTAAAAATTGAGAGGGTGTCGTTCAACATAGATTGCTATTACATAATGAACTAAGGCACATGTTCAGCCTTCTCCTTCTTTTTCAAAGCAACTATCAAGTCCCGAAAGCATCTTCCATGTGGGACCTTGATTCCATGCACCATCGCGAAGGTGTCGCGGGCAACCATGGTGGAATCCACCTTTGAAGCCTTAGCCAACTTGAACATGGCCATCACGGGTCAATTTTAGCTTAGTAAAATCATGATCATGGTTTACAGTAATTTAAATTTAATAGCCAAGGCACAGCCAACCTATGGGATTCCGAGCTCTGGTGCTGCTTGACATGGCACTTGAATACATACTTGCAGCCCCGTCCACCTTGGAATGAGTGAACCATAATTTAATTTACTGCCAGGCAGTCACCTGTTTAAGTTTAAAACATTAATTTAGTAATAAAGCCAAGCCACCTTCACCGTTGGCCCAGACTGAATTAATCCCAGCTGCTTTGCAGGTTTTGCAGCCCAATCCATGCAACCCGAGCACCAGCCAAGGAAAAGAACGTCGCCATCGCTTGGCCCGGGCCTTGAGGGCCTTTATTTGGGCAATGGTTTTTGCCCGCATTAAATTAAAAGGTAAAGAGGAAAACCATATTGTTGGACTTCGATACTGGCTTGGTTCTTTTTGCATGTACCGTACCTGGACTCTAAGCCCCTTAGAAAATGGCACATGAGCCAGTAGGTTTGGTTGGAATTAGAAACTGACTTGGTTCTCTTGACTTTGTTTTTAAAATCAGTTTGACTTCGAAACATCATATGACCATCTTGACAATCTTGATCCCAATGCCGGACAGAACAAAGAAACCGGTGAATACCACTGGGTGGCAGGGATGGTGGAGCTAAAGAAAGGGTTGTTAATCTTCGGTGTCTTCTTCATCCCCAAGCCCTATTGGACATCCACCCCTTGGGGGACTTGGTATTGGCCCACTTTCGACCAAGGTCATTGAGTCATCCACTTGATTTGAAAGGTTCCCGTCTTAAGATCCAAAAGACCATCTTTGTGGGGCATTGTTGAATCTGAAGTTGCAGTCAGAAATCCTACCGGGCCACCAAACATCCAAGAATAGCACCAGGTTCCATGAATGAATGTTCTCGACCTCTATAGGTGTTCTATAGGTTTTTCCCTCCCCCACCTCACCAATTCCAAAGAGACCATCCCCTTCAACCTCCATCTGAGGCACCGGGCCATGGTCTCCACAGGACCTGGGCAGTGGATGGGGGGATGGATGGGCGGTGGATGGGCAGTGGATGGGGATGGGTTTATTAAAATTGTAATAATAATAAATAATATTCGTCGGTGGTTGTGCGTGCTTCGAGCTCATCAAGGACAAGAACAGCGGTTGTGTCAGAGACAGTCATTGGCGTGCTTCGAGCTCATCAAGGACAAGAACAGATCTGACAGAAGGCTGAAGATTGCCTACCAGGTCGAGCTGTACACCATCGTCCTGCTTGCGTGCCAAGACCTTTGGACTTGCTCGGACAAAGAAACCTCAATGGTGCCCTGCTCGCAAGTGCTCCCACCATGGGCACAGCAGGTACAGCACTCTCGCCAGGCAAGCTGGCAACGCATGCACCACCTTCCGGGTTGTGGTCAAGGCAGCTGAGCTATGGCTCTCAGCCAATGGTGCAATGCTGAGGCTCTGTCCCGGCTCAGTACGCAGGCCGTGTGGAACCGATGGACTTGGGATCACCACACATGGTGCCATTGGAGCAGGGGTGCCCCGGGCGGCAAGACCACTGTCGCTGACAGATGCTTCTTACCTTTGCCCGCATGTGCTGCATGAATGTCTTGGCCGGGTCGACGATGAGCTTGGCTTCAGCGCCAGTGGCGATCGATCTCCACAGTTTCCGGCAAAGGGTGGCGTGACGAATGAGGTCCAAAGGCAATGTCAGCACATGGCAAGACAGCTGTCGCTGCCTCGACAATGAAGCAGCCTCCTTGGAATCTCTTCAGCGAGAGCATCCGGTAAGCCGCTTCCATTGGTCCAACTTCTCTGAGTCATTGCCACTGGAGGAGCACTTGCGGTCGCTGGGCCTTGGAAGCTCTGCTCCAAGCAGCTCAACCTCGAACTGCTCAAATGGCGGGCAAATCCATATACAGGTCTTCCCTGGCTCCGAGGCATCGAAGGAGATTCGAGGATTTGATGCCTTCAAGGATGCTTTGGACATCCTCATCTCTCACCTCACAGGCAAGCAACACCTGAAGAAGGTGAGACAACTCGCTCAATGACGATGAGGCGGGCATCTTTCATTTGATGCATGGGTACAGAGAATTGCCTCTTGAACGAGCTGCCACTAGCACTGGCTGTTGAACTGAGCGACCCGAAGGAGGCCTATTGCAACAGAGAATCAAGACACAGAGGCCTGTCCAG